TTTACAGGGAAACTTGGTTTTAAAGAATATCTTATTTTCAGAAGTTTTATGAATACCTGAACATATCATTATCACTGAACTAGTATATATATTTGTTTAGGGGCCAGCTGAAGGACGCCTCCGGGTGCGGGAATTTCTCGCTGCATTGAAGACCTGTTGGTGACCTTCTGCTGTTGTCTGTTCTATGGTCGGGTTGTTGTCTCTTTGACACATTCCTCATTTCCATTCTCAATTTTATACTCTAAAAAGAACCAATTTATATAAAAAGACATGTAGATCTAAAAAAAAAAACCAGGATTAACATGCTGTACGCCAGACGCGAGTTAAGTCTACAAAGAATCATCAGTGACGCTCGAATAAAAATAATTAAAAAGGCCAAATAAAGTAACGAAGTTAAGTAATCAATTCCTTGGGTAGAAAATCCTTGGCATTTCGAAAATGTTAAAGTTTATAAAAGGACAGTGACTCAAAAAAGAAAACAAAAGAAAAACAGCTAGAGGTCAGAATACCGCAAGCAATGATGACCGTGCTTGAAAGGCACATGGCAAGCTCTTATTGCCGTGTCCTGAATTTAGATAAGAAAAGCGAAAATTCGCATTCGCGTGTGAAATTAATATTTATGCATGAACGTGGTATTTTTGCGCAAGAAATAGTAAATAGTAAGCATACGCACTTATACTCTGGATACGAATACGCATTTGCGTCATCACATATATTAATCTAATAGTTGAATTCGGATGTCAAACTACCTACCTCAAGTGTTTTGACTCCGGATTCATTGAGATTTTATCCGGATTTCTGGTGAACGCAAACCGATAGAGTGCGTGTGAACAGGGTGATGTATAATGTGAATGAATCAAGACGTGTAGGATAGCTGACCAACACAATGAATACAATTTTCAAAACCGTACCATAGTACAAATATTTATTTAGATGCTATAAGGTTGAACTAATAAAATAAAAAAAAAAAATTAAAAAAAAATAATTAACATTATGATAGTAATTAGATTTTGTTATGATTATTGTAAAATATTGACGTAAAAAATACGTTTTTTGTGAGATGCAAGGATATAAAAATCCTTGTGAATTGAAACCACGCAAGTATTTTTTCATTCACGACCGTTTAAAATTTAGATATTCAGCTAACATTGGGTTCGCATCCCAGCTCATTGGTGCTCATACGTTACATATAATTTTCATAAATGTAATGACTGATCAAACCTGTGAGATATAATGCACGTATACATTACAATTTTAATTATATTCTATAATTATTAGGAATAAATTCAGTCTCAGCTTTACCTTAACAATGAATATTCTCTTAGTCTGGTAGTATCTATTAATGAAATTAGATATTTTTTTACAGAAAAATCCTTTTGTTTGATTATCTTTCTGCTTTCCGACCACTGTGTTTCCGACCATAGATAAATATTTTTAGCAGAAATATCGTTTTCTTAATTTTCTTCATTCTTTCCGACATTTTCTCATGCTATGATTGAAATACTAAATATCAAATGATAAACGTTCAGAAATAATCAGTTTATTCTAGGTCATTGTATATCAATAAACTATTTCCAGGTTTATTAAATACAACACACACAACGCGTAGAGGGACCATCTCAAAGCATGAATTATATAATTACGTTATCATTATACTTGATATTTAATAAACATTCACATTATTAAAAACATATATGTTTTGTCAAAAGGCAAATAGGTTCTAACATATAAATGATTTTTAGAATGCAACCTAGTCTTTATTGTTTTACTTTCAAATCTACAAATGAACCGTTTGTCGGATTGTTGAAATATACGATGTCACGTTGTAGCCTATCCATAGAGGGACCGTATCAAAGACATAAATAACTACCTATACAAATGATTGAAAATTTTCGAGACGTTCCGAGAATCGTGATTCCGAGGATATCGAGTGGCCCATAGACACTTCCAAAACTCGCCAATATATGAGCGTGAAAAAAAAAGACGAGCACAATTGTTGCTGTTTATATTAAATTTATCAAGGGTAAGTTTCCGCAGTATAAATAGACAATTATTGATTATTTAAAGCAAAAGTATCATCAAGGTAACGGTAAGTGGTTTATTTTGCTTGGCCATACACTGTGATTTATAACAAAACAGGAACAGGTCTTCTATTAAAGAGGCACACTTGGTACAATAGCAATACATAAAACTTGCCGATAAATTGTATTGTCAAAAAGAACACAAATGACGTCCAGCAGAATAATTACAGCTTTAATCATCTCATCACAGTTCCAGTAAGTATACCTAAAATATGACTTGCTTTTTATTACAGATGAAGGATTTATATGAGTTACAGCAACTCATTTTGCTGGAAAAATTGTTGTGTTAATGACGTTTAGTGCACTTCTCTTTTCTTTACATATAAAAGTTGTTTTGTTTAAAGAATGTTTCTTTTCTAAATATTTTACTAAGCAATTTGATAACGAAAATTATGTTTCTTAAAAAAAGAGCACGATATATTCTAAGCACGTCCAACCGCAGATGTATACCTAGCTATAAACTTGTCACGAACAGTAAAAATACTTTACAAATGAACATGACATCTATATATATGTGGCTAGTCGACACTTAGTTAATTAATTTTTTTACTGTAGATGTTTTCCTTGATAGCAAATAGGTTCTAATTTCTCGTTCATATCTTTGATGATGATTTTTTATTCACTCCTACTACTACTGCGAAATTATGCTTCCGAGCCACCATGTACCAAAAACCTACTACTTAGAAATCGTGCTTTCGAGTCACAAACCTTAAGTAGGTCATATAAAAATTTAAAAAAAATAATTGTAAAACTAAAAACAAGGAAATTCAATGCACATTATGAATAGTAAAAAATACATTTCGCTGTTTGGTAATGTATGTTTTAAGGGTGAATCATTGTTAGGTGACAATCTGTATTATGTCTGTCAACAGACAAATATGTGTTATGTTTAATTGTGTCTAATGAACATCTTACTTACACCATATGGATTTTATATAAATGAGTACATTTAGGTTAATCCATAATATATAAAGTTATTTGGGAACTTAACAAAGTATAGAATCCTGTGCATAGTATATCCAGTATGCGGTTTTAATATCCCCTAACATGTCGTATAAAGACAAAGTTGTATCTCATCGTATAAAACAGACACTGTCTGTGGTTGATATCCTCTAACGTGTCGTTCAAAGACAAAGACGCATTGCATCAAATAATAAAAACGAAATGAGATCATGCATATATTTGTTCAACAACTTTAAATATTCATTGTACTTGTTCCATAGAATTATCGTTATTTGGTCAAATACATCTGCTGCAAATAAACTCATCGTAGATACCAGGATTGATATAGTGTAGTACCATAATGTTTCTATACAATAGATTTTCTACACTATGGTCAGAATAAAATATAAAAAATACTAGCTTTTTCTATTCACGTTTATTGACGCATAATTTAATGAGCATTTGTATTCGTAATTCTGATTATTATTATTATAATGTTTTATATTTGATATTATATAAATAACACATAGCTGAGAGGGTGAAAGAGCAGATTGTTACCCCGAGAAAAACATTGTCAACTGAGGCCAAGGTTGACAATGTCTTTTCGAGATATGTGTTATTTAATTTATTATACTGAATGTTCTGCTATTACTGTCGATTAAATTTCAAATTCAAATTCAAAGTAATAAACTATGCCGTCTTGTACATGTACATATAACAACCATCCGTATTTAATAAAGCGCACACTTGATCAAGCGTCTCCATGAAGGGTAATAGAGTAAATTAACACCCTCGTATTAGCCAATCAAAATATGACATTTTAACGTGAAGTATAATAAAAAAAGATATAGAATTAAAGGTTGTAGCGAGTAGCACATCTACTTTGGACGTTGTTCTATGTGAAGGCCATAGAATATAATTACTTTATATTCGGACGAACGTAGTGAAGGAGACAAAATACAAGGCAGAATTTTGTTCGTGGATTTTAGAAAGAGTGGTATTTCCTTCAACATGGTATAAGTACAGGAACAGATGTCAGCTTACTAGATAAATTACTTTTACTTTGAAAATGACATGTGGTGATAATATGTTGACTTATTTGACTTGATAATGATATGCCTTGTTATATATCATAATGAATTATCATGTCAAAGCTGACAACCATTCTCAATACCCGATATGCATTTTCATTACTTTATTTGACCCATGTTTGTATTAGTCGTGATAAGAGATGCACATCCGTCAGGAATTTAATTTCAACAATAATGTAATGTTTTATTCATATTGTTTTATTCATGATCCAATGATCTTTCATGATATGATTTTAAATAGGTATGTTTTGATCATGTGGGGGCATTTTATTTATAGCTGGCTATGCGGTATGGGTTTTCCCTTTGTTGAAGGTCGTTATGTGACATATAGTTTCTTAATTCCACATCATATTTACTCTGGTGGATAGTTGTCTCATTCGCAATGATACCACACCTCCTTACTTCTATATCTGACCTTTAACGTAAAATTATATCATCAGAAAAGGCTCAAAAGCAGTAGTTCCCCAAAACAATTTTTTATTGCTAACATATGCAAGTTTTGTTTTCAGAGGTGAGCTAATTTCCATTTTGCCAAAAATATCTACATGATCATTGCAGTAGCATTGTAGTCCTAAATTAATTAGTAATGTACAGTAATATATAATGATTAAAGAGTAGAAAATACAAATTTTAGAAAATGTGTATAGTATCAACCATACGTTGGACAAACAATTTACATTATTAGAATTATTAAAATGAGAAACATGTAAGAATCTCATTATTGTATGATAAATTAACATGAACTGTCATCATGCATATTTCATTAGTATTTCACTTTCATGTTTAATTAAATTAACAAACATGCTGTTTGCATTTTAAAAACTGGTCTAATAATAAAATGAATGGCAGTTTTTTTTAACTTCAAATTCCTTGAAATATGATATAACGTCTTTTGACATTATGCCCTATTGAGCTGTACGAAGATGCTCTCGTTATATTCCAAATAACTACCGTATGAAGGATATCTAGACAAAACTCTTTAATTCCTATTGGAAAGAATAACCAGTTTTTCCTTTTGAGAAATCTGTAGTGTAAAATATGATTGAAAAATGGCCTTGGACGACTCTTATTCGGATGTAATTCATATTCAGCAAAGTAAACATGGCTCTTCTCTCAAGATTACAATGCCATGTACATTTACCAAGATGAGCCTGTTTGACGAAAGGTAAAGGATTACTGTACCATGTATGTATACTCCTGATGATTGAATGGACTTCTTAATACATCAACAAAATTCCTTTCCTTCCTATTACCGTAAATTTTGAGTGTTCCTGATGAAGATATGAATCAAGATCAGTCTTTTTTACTTTGATTTTTTGCGATCTTTATCTTAAATATAATTAGTTTGCCTTCTTGTCTCTGTAGACAGTCGATATTTTAAGACAAAAACATTAAACTTTACAACAAATGTATGGAAAGTACCAACCAAGGGATCTTTACATTTGTAATATCGTGGACAAATATAAAATTTGTATTTTTTGTTTGAAAATGTTTGCCTGTTTTGGGAAAATATTTCTTTTGAATGAAAAGCACAGCATTAACAATGCCATTTATGTTTTAAATTACTGCCCGTATACTTTTTGATGATCCGATGCCTCTTACTTTCTCCTTTAGCAAAGACTTTCATAGAATCGTAATGTTAAAGTACGGAGTGTTTCAAGGTCAAAGTCTAATATTTATAAAAAGCATTTATTTGAGAATCTTATGTATAATATTATATGTTTAATAGAAGGATTGAAATGTATATAAGGAATATCGTACATTTTTTAGCTTTCAGGAGAAATACCGCATCATTTTGAATTAACCTGTCTTTTATTTGTGCAAATATTCGGCCTCACGTGTTTCTTGTAAAGGCACCTCCAAACGCAGCAACTTTAGTGTGCTCGTCTATGTTTTCAGGACAAATCCATCAGTTGTATACTCGTTCTATGAAATTCATTCCTGCCAATATACATGTATATTTATACATGAATATAATTCCGATCAAAATTGTTGGAAGATGTATATATGTTAAGGTTACCAATATCGTCGTTATTTACCATGAACATTTTTTTCTCCGTAATCGTGTATTAAGAAAAACAAGTTTTACGTCGCAATAAGACAGTATGCGTTCTTACACGATTTAAAAAGAATCTTCAGTTTGGTAAAACAAAATATGTACATCATGAAATATAGAATCATCAAGAAAGCATATACTAGTAAATTATGAAATAAGATTTCGTAAAAAGTCATATAAATTGTACATCAAACTTTAAGCAAGTGTACTTGGGGATATTAGGCGTCTGATGTATGTCATGCAGATCATTTACATGTTTCATTACATGTAACAAAGAACGTAATGACTGATCAAAAATATACAATAAATGATAAAAACAATATGCAAATAAATGCATGTAAAAAAAGATTGAAGCAATTAATTCACGAATAAATGAATAACGCAATTTGCATAGATATGTTGGACTAGGATCAATGTTCCTCAAATCGGAGTTCAATCTGACCTCATAATAAACTAAGAATAGATTCTGAATCGGCTGCCAATTTTGACGCTTCCATAATCAATGACCTTCTTCACTTTTTCAAATTGAACTCCAATTCCCGGCTTTTCAAATCTTTTTTTCGGACACATGGCAATGACGGCATGTCATTGTTTCAAACAGCCCTTTAAATTAAACAGGAGATACGACGAACACCATGTAAAAATATGAAATCAATAGAAACAAGTTGATGCCTCTCGATTTTTGAAGACATTTGTGACAAATGAAGTAGTTTTTTATTATTATGATCTCTACGATTCAATTTAACAATGTTTACAGCACATTAATACAAGGAATGATATCAGTTCTGATTTTTACTTTCCTTTTGGAATTTTACAAAATAAATATGATAGATGATAACATCATTCAGTGACTTCTGCGATTTTGATCTCTGAATTTGTAAAACATAAAATTACCTTGTTAAAATGTCTGAAAAAATACTTTGATTGCTTAATGTCAGGTGGCTTATGGTACCGTTTGGATGTTGATAAGGTTAATGAAATTACATGAATATACCCTGCTTTGAACGAGACTGACACATGGAGTCTGATTTAAACGCGCTACATCTCAAGCCCGAGTCAACAAGGGGCAACATAAGGTTATATTTCATTTGCGCCAAAAAAGTAAAAACTACATTTGCGGTATTTTACAGGTATCATAAAATGGAAAAGTAAAATAATTCATTGCTCATCGTGAACAAGATTTTTTTAGAGGATTCCTCCTGGATAACTGAGAAAGTTCATACTCATTTCTAATATCAAACTGAGAGTCACTTAGGTTTAAAACTATATAGTGTGCACATGTTTGGGGTGTCAAGATAGACATTGTCAATTCTGAGACAAACAGCTGTTTATAACCGACTATACATTATAAGTTTTTCTCATTTTTGAAGGCCTAACGGTCACCTATATAATTGCTTTCATCCACTTCATTTGAACTTTTGTGGATAGTTGTCTCATTGACAATCATACCACATCTCCTTATTTTTATATAGAGGAAATGAGTCTGTATTTTTTATAACCACACATATAGGTTATCCAGTGTACATGAGTCGATGCTTACAAGTCTTGTGTCACAACAAACTTTTGGTTTAACTCCAGCGTAAAGTGCTTTCTTTTAGGTTTTATGATCTCGTTAATTTATAACAGAACTGTGTTTTAACATTATTATGAAAAGGTTCTAATTACGACCATATCAGTGTATAGTGCTTTCATTATTGTTACGATGACTGTGTTTTAAAGTTATTATTTAAAGTCTCTTTTGAATAAAACTACTTTTACACTATATTTACCTGTATTATTGGCGCAAATGAAATGTTTTATTTTGGCGCAAATGAAATATGGTTTGTGGCGCAAATGAAAGATTTTTTTGGCGCAAATGAAATACAAATTGGCGCAAAAGCAAAGAACCGTCAACAAGTCTACGTTCTCAGTGAAAAATGCCGCGAGGCTGGTTGAGAAACAGAAGATACAAGTTTAAAAATTCTTTGGTTTGATCCGGGCGGGAGATTTTTTTTCAAATGATCTCCTGTACTAGGGACCTTGACTTTGAAAATGTTCTTTCCTGGAATTACAACAGTTGTTACAAAATAAGCAAACTCATAAACATATAGATCGAGTAAAACATTCCGAAAAACAAATGCTAAATGTCTACTATTGTTCATGTCAAAATCACAAACGCTGTTAAAAAAATAACACAAGTTTCAGCAACAAACACAAAAATGGGTTGAAACGTCATTCAAGAACAATAACTGCAGTCGTCAGGAAATGTTGGTCAAAATAGACCGTATTACTAAGTGTAGATCTTGACATTCTGTTAATTGTTAGCAATGCCAGATTTAATCTATTTATAACGGATTTCAATATAAAAGACTTTATAAAATAAAGAGGCGTGGTATGATTGCCAATGAGACACAGAAATCCAATTGAGTCTAGATAAAGCGAATTCAAACAACTACTTACATTTTACCCCTAGTTCTATTTTTAATCTTTGTGGCCATTTTTGTTGGCAGCCGGAATTATTCGACATATGTTTTCAAACTAGACACCCTATTGGACCAACTTTGGTTCTAATTGAATCAGTTGTTATACATTAAACTGTTGTAAAAGTAAACGGACGACGGATGCCGAATAATGAGAAAAACTCATATGGCTTTTGTGGCAAGGTAAGCGAAAATTTCTTATTTACGAACAATAATCTCTATAAGGCGTAAATTTATGGTTTAAGTCATATTTGCTGTTATAGTGTATGTATTGTTTTGATTATCATTATATGCTGATTTAAGATTCTGTCTATCTATTATAATTTCCAAGTTCAGAAGCAAATGCTTAAATTGATCAGAAATCGTCATTTATATATTATAGTTATATATTTTTGGGTGAGGCCTTGGTTCATAACTTATTTAACAAAAACTATGTGTAAAATGGCCTTTGAGGTCAAATACGCCAATTTCAACATGTTTATGACGCCGTAGGGTCATCACAACGGATTTTTCTGAACTGAAGGGTCCAGATTATATAGAAATAAAATACTATTGAAAGGATTGAAGTAGTTTCCCTATTCTTTTTAATTTCGTGGACCTAATAATTGCTCTGATTTTTCATCCTTATTTGGTACAAATAAAAAGCCAGTTGATCTTGATATTCCGAACATTTTTGCCTTGTCAGATTTTCTGTATCTATTACGATTTACAAAATTTTAGACTATCACCTTCCTTTTACCATTGTGATTTATTTTTGCTGATCAGTTTTGGCTGGAACAGTTTCGGTATAACCATAACAATTTTCCAGATAATACGCAATAATGCTGAAATGAGATAGCAATTTATGGTATCAAACATACAATCAGTATTATAGAACTTGTATTTCAGATCGTTTTATGCTGATTACAGTTTTTGTCTATTAATTATCAATTTCAACATAATAAGCAAATGCTAAAATTGATCAATAATCGTCATTTAAGGTTTGAGCGTTTCTAATGTAAGTTAATCAATAATCGTCATTTAAGGTATGAGCGTTTCTAATGTAGGTTAATCGATAATCGTCATTTAAGGTTTGAGCGTTTCTAATGTAGGTTAATCAATAATCGTCATATAAGGTTTGAGCGTTTCTAATGTAGGTTAATCAATAATCGTCATATAAGGTTTGAGCGTTTCTAATGTAGGTTAATCAATAATCGTCATATAAGGTTTGAGCGTTTCTAATGTAGGTTAATCAATAATCGTCATATAAGGTTTGAGCGTTTCTAATGTAGGTTAATCAATAATCGTCATATAAGGTTTGAGCGTTTCTAATGTAGGTTAATCAATAATCGTCATTTAAGGTTTGAGCGTTTCTAATGTAGGTTAATCAATAATCGTCATATAAGGTTTGAGCGTTTCTTCTGTAGGTTAATCAATAATCGTCATTTAAGGTTTGAGCGTTTCTAATGTAGGTTAATCAAGAAAAGCAATGGTAATGATACGATTTATGAAGTGTTTTTCTAAACTTTACAGTTGATAAATTAAGAAATTATTTAGATACTAAAGTTCCAACTCCCTCAGTTGACCTTGGATGAATACTATTCTTTTTATGTTTCTTTTCGTTCATTTAGCTCCGGTTAACCTACTTGGCAGGCCTATAACGATCGACTCCGAAAACATAGATAGACAGACACCATTTTGTAGATTATTTATTGCAGATTTACGAAAAAAAAACGTTTTAGTTGGAAAGACGACCGCGGAATCGAAATATAGAGAAAGTTGGCGACCCGGTGTCATTTCTCAAAAAATTAAAGATGGGTACCTTGTGTTATATTATGATATTCCTAGAAATGTATAGGAGGTAAGATAAGAAGGTATTTATAATGATTTTTTTCAGAGGAACCCAAACCCTTAATTGACTTCGTTGAAGAACACATATGGTGCAAAGATACTTAATTTACCATTAACCAACGACCATATATTAAACTAGTTATCCAGCGGCTTTTCTTGAGTGTAATTATAGTCGTCTCGTCGTCAGTCATTATAACGAGACTCACACGTTTTTATTTTCCTTTTCAGATGAACGTTTCTTTTGAAGTAGAAGAGTTAGTTGTGATCGAGGACGTTGACTATACATACTCATCTCCTTATTTTTATATGGAAAATGTTGATACAGGACAACAGAAAAAGGTAATTGTAATAAAAAAAAACTCTTATCAAAGAAAGTAATAACACAATTAAAGCGACAACTATTATTGTGTCCAGTAGGCTAAATTCATCAAATCAAACCTAGGCTTACATGTACCTACAGATATTTATAATAAGCATGTATTACTTAGTATGCTTGTAGCTTTTTTCAAAAAGGGTATTATGAGAAGTTTCCATGCTAGTTATATTCTGCTAGTCCGCACAAACTCGCCATACGACAAGGCGGAATTAACACCACACTGATATTTGAGCCGCAATTTTACACTATGTGCATCGAGTTCAAATGAAACTCAGTAACAAGAAATACACGTGTGACAAATGCCAGACTTCATTCGGCCATATAGACAGTTTCCAATATCAGGTGGAAAAGAAACACAAAATTTTACGTTATACATGCAAAGGACATTGCGTCGTCGTCGTCATCAGCGTCATCATCATCATTTAACTCTTTTAAATAGCTTGAAAGAACTTTTGAATTTTCTATTTATTTTTATGACATTCTACATACATGTATGAAAAGTTTCGTCGTACACTTAAAATTCAAAGACAAAAAACAGTCGCTTGTTTTGATTTTCCAAAAGTTAATCTGACTGTAGCTGACCTGTAAGTTTTATATGTTGATACATGAATTGATTTAGACATCATGTAGGATTGATTGTTGGTGTTGAACGCCATTTACAGCACTGTTGGCTACATCGTGGCGACCAGTTTGTATTGGTGGAGAAAGTTGAGTTCCCGATGACAACCACCGACCTTCTACAGGAAAACTGACAATCCTAGTCAATTAAAATTGGAGTCTATTGCACCTGCCACGTGCGGGGATCGAACTCACAACCTATAGTGTTGACAGTCTAGAAATACAGTAGATGAACTACTAGTATTTAGACCACGTGGCCACTGAGGCCCCAAAAGCGGGTGGATATCGTTGATGTACAAATTATTTGGTGCCCGTTGACAGCATGTCTTCATTATTCATTGATTTGACATTTCTCATGAAGAAACATTTGGTGTTCATGATTCCGTCTCGAATGTAAAAATAATTCTATATTACATGACAAGAAGCATATAAGAAGTTAAAACAAATGTATTCACATGTTAACATAGAATTTTATAGACTTTAGGAGAAGCAACATCATATTTATATATAAGTTATTATTTAGTGGTAGTCTCATATTTACATGATGCGCAGTGCCATTTCAAACAAAACTCATTCATGTTACAAAAATACATTTAAAAAAAACTCTGCACGGAAATATTTTTTTATGTAGAAAATTTCTCGCCTTAGGTTATGCTCCATTAACCCCGAAAGAAGAGCGAGACACGGAACGAAGAATAAAAGATACTTGACCTTATAATTAACTTTTCCACCTCTCATTCCGTTTGGCACTCGGTAGCAGCATCTGTACCTCAGAAATTATTCCCCTTGAAGTATTTTGAATATAACTATATTTTTCACTACTAAAAACTAAAAACTATCACTGTTTGATGTGCTTAAGTAAACCAGTAAATTCAGCATGCCATGTATTTCATGCTGTAGACCGGGAATAACTAACATTTTTATCCTGCAAACGACCTTTCTAGTATACAAATACAGGTTGACAGAAAACATGAAGCGATAAACGTTTATAGTCTCCTGGTATCCTGCTTCTGTTGCGAGCATACCATATGTTCAAATTACAGTTTACACTATAGTTCAACTTGGGGTCCTCATTGTGGTCCGCGTTTAAGTCATGTCGATTTCATTCAAAAACAAATTCAACCATTGGGATGGAAAAAATCTATACGTTTAAGCTCAATATTGAATTGAAGGATATAAACAATATTCCTTAATCTACAGTGTAGAAAATTATAAAATATGTTTGTACTCGCTACGAAACAATAGAAAAGATCGGCGAGCCTCGCTTTTCTCTCAGTTTCTAAAGCTCGTCAAATAATTTGTATATTTTCCTACACTATACGAATCTATATATTTAAATGAGAAGACCTCATTTTGTGTGTCGCTTCTCTTCCTTCCTCTATATATTTAAATGAGAAGACCTCATTTTGTGTGTCGCTTCTCTCCCGTCCACAATAAATTAATCGTCATGCCTCTGTGTCCTATAGGTACCATGCATAGTCGCATTTGTCATCCTCGCTTATGATTATTCAGTTTGATATATTTTTGGAGGAAAACGAAAATAAAGGCGTCCGGATATTGTTTCCGTCATCGGACGGACTTTTAAGTCATAGACAAGACTTCCGTTATGGACTGTTTTAAAATTACACATAATTGTCATAAATACTTGGGGACAGGACAATTATATTCGCGTTTTTCTGTATACTATGATCATACATATACTATAAATAAAGTGTATTTGATGTTTACTATCAATTCCAAGTTTACTATCCACTGCAGTCACTGATATATTATATAGAGAGCCGTGGATAGTAAATTTCGAATTGATAGTAAATATCAAATACACTTTATTTATAGTTTATGTATGTTCATAGTATACAGAAAAACGCGAAAATAATTGAAATTAATAGAAAAAAAAAATAATGGACTTTGGAAAAAAGGGGGAGGGCTAAAACAAATTGTCCTGTTCCCAAGTACCTATGACTTTTGATACCTTTCCTGAAATTCTCCAGTCATAAAATCTTTTACAAAAAATCATCCTACAACAGTTTACATACTTTTAACCGCGATTTCGCGGATGTGTTCTAGTATAGTATATATGTAATCGCACGATGGAACAAGATTCAAATCGGATTATCTCCCGTTTACCAGAAAACATCACAGCTAAAATATCTAAAATGTTAAATTTGATCCGTCGCCCATTACAAATGTATGCTATGTATGTCTAGTAGGTCCGATACTAAAGTAAAGTATAAATTATGTCCATAGAGCGGACGTCTCTTACATCTTATAGGTCCGATACTTAAGTACAGTATAAGTTATGTCCATAGAACAGACATCTGTTACATCTAATAGGTCCGATACATAAGTAAAGCATACATTTAGTCTATAGAACGGACGTCTCTTACATCTTATAGGTCCGATACTTAAGTACGGTATAAGTTATATCCATAGAACGGACGTTATTACATCTTTAAGGTCCGATACATAAGTAAAGCATAAATTTAGTCCATAGAACGAACGTCTCTTACATCTTATAGGTCCGATACTTAAGTACGGTTTAAGTTATATCCATAGAACGAACGTCTCTTACATCTACAAGGTCCGATACATACGTAAAAATAAAGTATAAATTTAGTCCGTAGAACGGACGTCTATTACATCTAATAGGTCAAATACTTTTAACGTACAGTATAAGTTATATCCATAGAAGAAACGTCTCTTACATATAAAAGGTCTGCTACTTAAGTAATGTATAAGATATGTCCATAGAACGGACCTCACTCGAATGTAATAGGTTCGATACTTAAGTAAATTACAATTTATTTAAGTTATGTCCATAGAACGGACGTCTATTACATATAATTGGTCCGATACTTAAGTATAGTTATCAATTATGGACTGTTGACGAGGTCAATACGTCATATATGGACCTGTTCAGATTATATTGATCAAGGACGAAGTCCAACGTTCAATATAATCAAATAGGTCCATATATAACGTATTGACTGAGTGAAAGTCCTTAATTTATATATTACATATTTAAATAGTTTAAGTTTGAACATGATATTGACTCGATGTTACTATTTTTGGAAATGATATTGCCTCGATGTTTCTATTTTTAGTAACATGGAGTCAATATTATTTTTAAAAATAGCAACGTCGAGTCAATATGTCCTAATAGTAAAAAAAAAATACAAAATATATATTGGGAAACACGTAACCAAATAAATCAATGAGAAAAAAGAAAAATCAAACCATATGATAAGATAAGATAAGATAAGATATTTTTATTTCCAATTATGGGCCCCAAAGGGCATAAACATTACAACATCAATAATTTTTTCATAATACAATACAAACAATGAGATAAAAAAAAAAAAAAGTTAAACGAGAACTATTTAAGTTCTTAAAGAATACGTAGATAAAGAATCTATAGTATGTTTTTTTTTTTTAATACTAATGCATTTTATTGCAAGTGTGGTTGATATAGATAACAAACAAGCAGCCCAAAAAGAAAAAAAGAAAAATAGATATCCACATATGTATAGTACACAAAAAGTTGGATCAATTAAATATATAATAATTAGCCAAAAAGAAAGTAGAAATTAAACATGTCCATGACTCATCCTGTGTCAGCAGCAAATAGGAAAGCATTATGGTTTCCTAAAGGCAGCTGACACCAGGGGGCGATACCTTATGGGCCATAGGCATGTAAAATGTGTGTAAATGTCTCTTTCCTACCTGTATCAAAAGCAAACAAGGAAGCATCATAGGTAACTTGAATGCAGTTGATACCAGGGGACGATGCCTCAAGGATATAAGAGAACATTTGAATAAATAATATATCTTAACAATTATTTTTTTTTTTAATCGGCTAGTATGTTTGTGATATTCAGATGAATATAATTTTCTATGTCCAATCAAATGTATATACACACATAGATTTCCTTTAACTAATCTTCACTAAGGAAGATGTTTGTATATAAAATTACATATTATTTTAAGTAACTCAACATTTTCTACACTAAATAAACAGATAATTTTGCTTTGACTGTTCATATGATTAAAATAAGAATTATATTGTGCAATACTAGCTAACATACAATTTCTATCATCCTCAAATTTGTTACAATCAAATAGAAAATGAGCCTCATCTTCGACAGTATTGGAAGAACATTTATTACATATTCTGTTAATTCGGGGAATACCCTGATATCTACCTAATTCTATTTGTAATCTATGAGAAGATACACGTAATTTAGTAAAACTTCTTCTAAGTTCAAAATTCTTGATCAATGTTAGATATTTTTCAAAACCAAAATTTGTTTTATATAAAAGGTAGGTTTTCAGTTTACTGTCTGAA